GGGGTATAAATAATAAATTATTATTATTATTATTATTACTGGCCAAGGGAGCCGGAATTTGTCCGCAGCCAGCTTCTGACCAGAGCAGCGCACGGAAACACTGTTTACCTTCCCGCTGGAGCGGTACCTATTTATCTACTTGAATTTTGACGTGCTTTCAAACTGCTGGGTTGGCAGGAGCTGAGACTGAGCAACAGGAGCTCACCCCGTCACGGGGATTTGAACTGCCGACCTTCTGATCAGCAAGCCCTAGGCTCTGTGGTTTAGACCACAGCGTCACCCACGTCCCTGTAGTGTGCTTAGCCTTTAACATAAGTGAACATGTTCTTTTCCTTTTTGCAGCGGAAGGCGTCAGAGGGGAGAAGAGAAAACGTGCAGCAGAAGATGAGGGAGACGATGACGACGATTAAGTTGTAGGAAAAAAAATAGGACCAGATGCATTTTTTGTTGCAGGATACGCAATAGCGATATGCAGACTTGTATGTCTCCATGTATCCTAGGTATCCCTACAGAAGATATTAATGTGTTAACTTTTTATAGGAAGTGTGTTTTTACTATTTTTGCCCTTTTTATCATTCCAACTAAGACATAATAGCCCACTCTGGATCATGTGCAGAGAGAACACTGTTTCATCCCTTTTTAATCACTGAACCAGTTGTCTCCCCCCCCCCACCTCCCCTAGAAACATTTTTCTCCAGATTTCTCCCCTATTTTTATGTGAGCATGCTGTTAGTTCTAGTAACAGTTAAAGCAAAACATTAAACTAATTTAATTCAGACTTTTAAAGATTGTACACCGAATTAAGATCCACTGCAGTGCGATAATCCAGCTTTTCCTTAGAGAGGCTTATATATGAGGTGAACCAAAGGCTGCATGAAGTCAAGAATTTGGATAATAACAATTGGCTTATTTTAAAAGGGCATCTGAAGAATGCACAAACAGGTGAAGTCTTTGCTCTTCTGCTTTCTCATACACTTTATACACACACACCTTTCCAATTTATTTTTTTTTAAAATCTATGTAACTATGGAAAGCATGGGATCAGCTTTCTTGAGTCTATAACTTTTTCCATAAGAAAGTAAGAAGAGACCTACAGAATCAGGCCCAAGGCCCATCCTGTTATCGCTGTTGAGAAAAGACTCCCACAGGAGGCAGTGATGGCCACCAACCTGGATGGCTTTCAAAGCGTTAGACAAATTCACAGAAGATATAAAGCTCTGTCCTACCTCCACTGTTGGAGACAGAAGGCCTCTGTATGCCAGCTGTTGGGAATCACAAATGGGGAGAATGCTGTTCTGCTTGTGGGCTTCCCGTAGGCATTTGGTTCTCCACTGAACTGGACTCTGCTTTGGCCCGATTGAGCAGAGCTCTTTGGAAAAGGCGAGACCCAAAAGGCTTAAGAGAGAAAACAAAACCAACATTTCATTCACACCCACACCAGAAACCTGGAAATGCTTACTTTAAAGTTCTTTCAAGTTTGCCATTTCCTTTGTGTTATCTTTCTGATCATTCTAAGATGGAAACAGGATCCGTATTTCTGACGCAAATTCTAGACGCCTCCCCCCTCCCTTCGTTTTTATTTTTAAACCCTGAAGCTTTTCAGGCTTTCATTAAAATATATACATAGGAGAGGCACATTTCTTTATATGTCACCTTTCAAGGGAACAGTTGGCAGGTAGACTAAGCCATGTGGCGAGGCCTAGAGCACAACATTTAGGGTGGGGAGGGTGGTCAAGCGGCTTACTTCTGGGAAAGGGTCATTGAAATGCCTTGCTGTTTCCCTGCCCTCGGTGAAGCTAGCAGTGAGGTTGGCTGTTGTCAAAAGGTGTCCTGAAAAGGGCTGTGGTGGATCAACCTTGCAGTTGTCTGTATGCTAACCTTAAGCTCATGATAGGCCTGCAATTGCTTCCCTTAGAAGTGCAGGTCGTGCTGTGGGAAAACATTTGGGCAAGAATCCTACAGAAATTTGTTCACCGCACCCTGTCAGCAAAGCAAAGACAATGAGCCTTGTGCTGGTAACAAAACTGGTTTTTATGGATCTTCTTTGCAGACTGCTTTTTAACAACAAAAAACAGCAAACGGCATACTGGGCTCTTGAGAACTCCTGCAGTTCTTACTTAAACGATAGACTAACTTGGATTGTTAAATATTTTACCCAAATAGTAACACACAGCTGTATTCCAGAGATACTATTTTTTTATTATCTGTCCTGCTTAGGAGAAGCTGTCGCTAATGTGGTTTTAGATAAAAAGGGGTATTTTTACATAGATGGATGGGAGTTGCCCCTCCCCTTACTACAGTTGCCTGTGAATATAAATAACACATTAGACACACGTTCTGACATGTTTAGTATGTGACATTGGACTCTTAGGTTTTGATGACACTGCATTTGAGAAGCTCTGCGAAACAGTATTTCTCTCCCCTGTCCCCCCCAGAAATATTCACAGCTAACTCTAAAGAGGCATTTGAACAGAAGGAAATGCAAAAAGGCATTTTAATAGGAAGACTTGGATTTTTAAAAAATGACTTAGCTGAAAGGACTTGGTAAAGCTTTATTCCAATCCTGTTACATTTGTGTATGAATGAATCTTAGAAACTTTTAAAAAGCGTATACTGTTGTCCTGCTGGTTCTGTGTTTAAAAGCAGTTACTTTGTATTCATTCAGATTCCCCCTCACCTTTCCGTATACCCTTTTGTTTTTAATTTAGTTAGGCTCGGCAAATAATAAAACCCTTCCATTACAAAGAGAGTATTTAAATGTTGGGTCTGGCTTGTACTAATCCATTGCACATGTAAGGTTTTCTGGCTATAGTACTATCTGAGCTGTGATTGACACCACAGAACTACTGAGCAGCCATCTTAACCCAGTTCATCTCAATGGGAGTAGATTTCCTTATGCAAGAAATCTGCCTTCTGCTCCAGTTTCATATTTTAAAATTAGTGGTTGAGGGATCTCTCAAGTGTGCATCAAACTCCTGCACTGGTTCAAAAACATGAATGGCCGAATCAGTGATTTGTAGAAGATTTTTTCCCCCTAAGTTACCTTCAATGAATGACTACTACTAGTCTGTATTTGACCATTTAAAAGGCTGAAAGGTGGTTTTGTGTGTTGTTTTTTTTACAGAGGAGTAATATGAAACCAAGCACACCAGCATGGTTATACATAGTATGTTTTTCAATAGTTTTACATCTTCTCTAAGGATCTTTTATGTAGTAAATGTAACAACCAGCTAACTACATTGCCACAGTTTTGAGTTGTCAGCTTTAGTGTGTGAGCAAAATAGAACTTTTTCTTCTTTTTAAAACAGGGGTGGGGGGTGAGTATTACAGAGCCTCTGGATACCTTTTTTTTTTTTTTGGCTTGGTGGGTTCTTTAATGAAAATACGTAAGGGTGGGTTTTATATTTTGTAGCAATTTTGTCCTATTTGGATGCTCTTTATATGGCAGTATGTATATAGTGTGTTCGATTCCTTTTCAAATTCTAAAGAGAGAGAAAAGACTCAAACTTGGAGGTAATTGGTTTTTGTGCAACTGTGTTTTGGGAGGGGGAGAAAAAGCCATGACAGTGTTAAATAAAGCAAATACCTACAGCACACTTCTGACGGATTTTAGTTGTAACAGAATGTGAGTGTTCCTCCTGCCCTCCCCCCCCCCCCCAGTGTGATGTAAATTTTAAATTAAAGATTTTCAATCTGAAAATGTGAGGATTTGTTATTGGGGAAGGGGAGTCTGAACTTCTTGGAAGTAAAATTACTGTTTTGAAAACTTGGAACAGAGGCGTGTATCAATCCTTATTTGAGAACTTTCGTATATACCCCAGAGGGCCCAGATCTGTTGGGGTTTACCATAGTTACTTAGCCTGCAAACCCCTATAAAAGTATTGTGATGCTCTCTACTCCAATCGCTGGCAACTCCAGGTAGGGCTGGGGAAAAGATTTGTTTCCGAGAACATGGAATATGCTGCCAGCTACTGCAGGCAATACTAGATGGACTCAGTGCAAGGCAGCTTCCTATAAATTTGGAGACCTGGAGTGCAAGAGATCCCACCACTGCTTTGGCTAGTTTGCCCTATTGCCAACCTGCTATTGTAGTACAGTGGTGCCTCGGGTTACATACGCTTCGGGTTACAGACTCCGCTAACCCAGAAATAGTGCTTCAGGTTAAGAACTTTGCTTCAGGATGAGTACAGAAATCGTGCTCCAGTGGCACGGCGGCAGCAGGAGGCCCCATTAGCTAAAGTGGTGCTTCAGGTTAACAGTTTCAGGTTAAGTACGGACCTCTGGAACGAATTAAGTACTTAACCCGAGGTACCACTGTAATCAAGATTCCTTATATTAAGCCAATATCTACCCACGCATATACTAAGCCCACTTGATTTTGCCCTCTTAATGTGGTGAGCACCGTTCTGGTCTTTGAAGAGCCCAGTCCTACTTACCTTCAGTCTAATACAGGGGTCAGCCAACTTCCAGCAGGGGGCCGGTCCACTGTCCCTCAGACCTTGTGGGGGGCCGGACTATATTTTTTGGGGGGAAATTACGAATGAATTCCTATGCCCCAGAAATAACCCAGACATGCATTTTAAAAGGACACATTCTACTCATGTAAAAACCCGCTGATTCCTGGACCGTCCATGGGCTGGATTTAGAAGGCGATTGATTGGGCCAGATCTGGCCCCCGGGCCTTAGTTTGCCTAAGGTAAAGGGACCCCTGACCATTAGGTCCAGTCGTGACCGACTCTGGGGTTGCAGCGCTCATCTCGCTTTATTGGCTGAGGGAGCTGGCGTACAGCTTCCGGGTCATGTGGCCAGCAGGACTAAGCCGCTTCTGGCAAACCAGAGCAGCGCACGGAAATGCCGTTTACTTTCCCGCCGGAGCAGTACCTATTTATCTACTTGCACTTTGAGGTGCTTTCGAACTGCTAGGTGGGCAGGAGCAGGGACCGAGCAATGGGAGCTCACCCTGTCGCGGGGATTCAAACCACCAACCTTCTGATTGGCAAGCCCTAGGCTCTGTGGTTTAACCCACAGCGCCACCCGCGTCCCTTGCTTAGTTTGCCCACCCATGGTCTAATACATAGCCCAGTTCCTTCAACTTTTCCTCACAGGGCTGGCTTTCCAAACCCCTGAACCAGCAGCCCTAATTTGTCTATATACATACTCAGAAATGGCCACTGGGAAATAAATATAAAGGGTGTGGTAATGTATTGAGAAGACTATAGAAAATACCACACACAAGGATCACAGAAAAGCAGTCTACAAGAAAAAAATTGTGAGTGTAACTTGGCACTCCTGTCAAGATATCTAAAAAGGTTTGCAGATCACCTTGGCCAGTGCAGGTCATTTTGCAATGGCAAATACCCTAGTTTCTGGAATCCTTGTCAGCTCCCCTAATCATACACAACATGTGCTTATTTTGACTGAAGTGAAAAGAACTACTGGGAGAGATTTCCCCCAAGATATTTCCTTCTGCAGAGGAAGTATTTGGCGCCATTAAGAGTCATTGCAGGGCTGTCGAAACCACTCTCAGATTTAGTGAACTACACTGCAAAGTTGTCTGCCATCCAAGCACAACCAAGCTGGAATGGAAAGATAATGGATTGCAATCTTATTTTTGTAATACTGCATTGAAAAACTCGCAATGCAAGAGAATTGCATACAAAACACGAGCAGAGTTTCATTTCCCCCACTCATTTCTACGGGCAGCCTCCACTTCCGCCCTGGGAATGGGGCATTTCAAAATGGCAGAGGGAAACCGGAAGCTCCGTGGCCAAGACTCCCTCAGAGAAGGCGGGAAGAAGACGGCGGCGGCGACGACCGACAGAACACAAACAAACGCCGCTTCTCGCTCGGGGTTTCCCTCGGAGCAACCGCAGGGGTCGTGCGTCGCCGGGGATTGGCTGGCGCTTGTCGCAGTCTCCCTTTCCCTCCCGCCCCCTGTCCAATCCGAGCCTCGAGCGGCGCAGCTGGCTGTTGGCGGGGGAGGGAAGAGGCGTTGGAGGCTTCGAAGTGGCGCGCGAGGGAGAGCTAGCTTTTCCCGCGCATTTCCAACCGTCGTTACCTCAGGTGCACTCGGGTTTTGTGGTTTTTTACCTCAGAATTGTCCCCTCGCCTGCCAGCCTCTTGAAGCAATTGCGGTTAACGGATGGCAGAAGGGGCATATTAGACACTTCTTTAAACAAGGAAAGCACCGCCTATTTATTACTACTGCGTGTCGTCCCCCCCCCTAAGTACAGCTACATAAAAATGAGCTTTTAGCCCAGACAACTGAATAGGCGATCCTTCCATCCTGACTGAAAATAACTCCCTTTTTGATTGGGGCTTGAAACTAATCCTTACACACGTTTCAATTTTTGCTTTTTAAAAAATAGATCAATATAAGGAAATACACATTTCTAAGGAATTTGCATCCCTCATTAAAATGTTAACCTTCCATTTTTTACCTGTGCCTTTTAAAGGTTCCTACTATTCCTCTCTCGTTCTTCTCACCTGCTGTTTTGAGGATTATGGCCACTAGGGAGACATTCGTCTTTGTCTTTTTTATGTTAATTTCTCCCTTTTACCCCATTTCAGGTAAGGTTTTGCGCAGGCAAGTATCTTTCACCGAGGTAGAAGTAGTTCATTAAGGGGAATAAATAACCTGCCAAGTGATGCAATTTAGTCATGAGTCACCCAGCTGTGAATAAATCGCTGTTTCTCACTGTGAAAGAGAAAATTATGTGTGCAGGTTGACTAACCAGCCAAAACACAATTATTTAAAAAAAAACCACATTCTTGATATATTTAAATTAAGCTTGGAACCCTAAACATGCTTGTGACTGAGTTAAGTTCCATTGACATTCTGAGTTATGTACATCGAATTGCTCTGCAATCTGTGCTAAACTTTGGATCATACCCCTAATTTGCAAAAAAATAATAATCTGTGAGAGCGCAGAATGAAAATAGCAAGATATATTCAAAGATTTGAAGACTAAATGGTACATTCTCAGAGCAACTGTTTAAAGTTGGCATACCTGTAATAAAATCAAAATGTCAACTGTTCAGCTGTCATTATTTCATGTCAACCCTTCTTAAAAGGATGGTGATTCTGCTTTGATTCTTTAATCGATTCTGTATGAAGAAGTGTGTAAAGTCATCTTTCTTGCCATTGCCTTGTTAAATCGTGCAACTCTCCCCGTTTTTCCTTTCCTTAGGTAACTCGGTAAGATATCAGGTAAAAACCTCTTTCCTGTTCCTAGAAAGCAACAAGTTAAAGCAGTTGTTTATTTTTTATGTGAAATTGGAGAAATAAAAATTAGGAGCGCTCCATATTCAACTTGGAAGGGATCCAGAATGCCTGAGGAGCTAAGCTTAGACAAGATGTAATTTTCAGGAGTTAACTTCAGATCTTTTGGAGACAAATCCACCCCAAAAAGCTAGGCTGTCCAACAAGCCTGGCATTAGAAATCCGAAAGGCTCTTGGGCCTCCATGATGCATTATTTTCAGGGCTGCTGGTTGGGGCCCAAATTCAGCTTGGCATCCTGGACCCCGCTACCTGGCTTGCTGAACTTCCCTCATCCTCAGGGATGGCATCATGTGCATAGGCGCTGACTCCATGGGGCTTGAGGGGGCCCGAGCCCCCTCAAAAATTCGTTTGGGGGGCTCTGCCCCCCCCCAATAATCTCCGGCGCCCCTCCAGCAGAGCGCCATCGCCGCCCCTCCCCCAGCCCAAAATGCACAGGGAGGGGCAGGCTGCATGCCTCCTGCCCTCCCTCCCGAGCAAAAGCTCCACCCAATTTCCTTTGGAGCTGATTAATAGGCGCAGCACGCTCTCCCCTATTCGCTCACGAGGAGGCGGCGCCACTTTATTTGCATATTCATGAGCTTATTTATTATTCATGAGCTTTCCCGGGCCCCCCCAATATTTTTTATAAGTCCGCGTCCCTGATCATGTGCCATTTTGCCACCTGAGGCGAGAAGACAGGAAGCTAAGTGGGCTGGCTTTGTTCATCCTCTTGTTTGAGGCCATTTCAGTTACTATCCTTCTGGGTGTTCAAGATGAGTCGTTTGGGAGTGGCCGCCAGGACCATATAACAGGCATGTCCAAAGTCCGTTTCAGGGGCCTAATCCAGCCCGCCGGTCGGTTTAATCTGGCCCCTGTGGCAGTTTATTTCCTGGGGTAAAACCCTAAAAAAACCTCAACAACTTCAATCCTAAAAGAAGCTCCGCAACTCCAACCCTAAAAGAAGCTCAACAACTTCAACCCTAAAATATAGCTCAACAACTTTGGGGTAAAATCATAAAAAAAGCTCAAGAACTTCAATCCAGGTCAACAACTTTGGTTGGCCCTTTGGTCGGCCCCCATGGCCCTTCACTTCATCAAATCTGGCCCTCTTTGAAAAAAGTTTGGACACCACTGCCACATAACATCGGTCCTGGAAGACATGCCTTGGCTCCCAGTACATTTCCGAGGTGCTGACCTTTAAAGCCCTAAAGGGCCTTGGTACAGTATACCTGAAGGAGCGTCTCCACCCCCATCGTTCAGCCCAGACACGGAGGTCCAGCTCCGAGGGCCTTCTGGCGGTTCCCTCCCTGTGAGAAGCCAAGTTACAGGGAACCAGGCAGAGGGCCTTCTCGGTGGTGGCACCCGCCCTGTGGAATGCCTTCCCATCAGATGTCAAGGGGATAAACAACTATCTGGCTTTTGGAAGACACAGAAGTTTTTAATGCTTGACTTTTTATTACAGTGGTACCCCGCAAGACGAATGCCTCGCAAGACGGAAAACCCGCAAGACGAAAGGGTTTTCTGTTTTGGAGGCGCTTCGCAAGACGAATTTCCTATGGGCTTGCTCGCAAGCGAAAGCCATAGGAAATGCGGGGTGGGAGCTAAAGACTTCGCTCACAGCGCTCAGAAGACGCCCGAAGCGAGTCTCCGCTGTCCAGGTTTTTAAAATCGGGGGTGGGAAGAAAAGCCCGTTCCTCCCCCCAGCTTCAGAGGTGGGCTGTCCCGACTGGTTAGCGTTCCTAAGCATTAATGATTTCAATGCATCCTATGGAACGTGCATCGCAGACGAAAATACCAACGAAGAGACTTGCGGAACGAATTAATTTCGTCTTTGCGAGGCACCCACTGTATTTTTTTATATTGTGCTGGGAAGCTGCCCAGAGCTGACTTGGGAAAACGCAGCTAGATGGGCTGGGTATAAATAATAAATTAATGCTTTGTGTTTTATTGTGTTTTTAATAATAATGTTGGGAGCCTCCCAGAGTGGGGTTGGGGAAACCCAGCCAGATGTGTGGGGTATTTTTATTATTATTATTATTATTATTATTATTATTATTATTATTATTATTATCTTTTTGATTGCTGCTCCCTCAGGAGATCAAGGATTATCTAGTGCACCTCTGCCAGCTGTATGAGAAGATCTTGACACTTTGGTTATCAACTAAAGTTAAGATAATAGGCAGCACCCTCCTTAAAATGTCTTTATTTCTTTTTTTGTTAATTGGCTTTATGGATGACATTTCTCTATGGTTATCAGCTGCTTTGAACTGTTAGGAAAGCGGAGAATACATCTCTGAAAATCATTTTCAGCAAATTAAACAGCTACAAGAGGTTGTAACACTCCTATTCCAATTGTTTGGAGCAGTGCCTCTGATGCCTGAGATCACATCTTTTACGAGATACTGGCCTAGCAACAAGTATTATGACCTTGCATTGGTGTACCTATTCGTTCATTCTGTCCTACATGTTATCACCCCACCAACCTTACAACTGGACCGTAAGTAAATATGTCCATGTTAAAATTTGCCAAGACATCATGGTGACCTGATGTTCTAAGTAATTATGAAGTTGCTTATGATAAAAAAAAGTTGTCAATTTTATTTTGTATCAGCCTTGGTCAGTAATGTACACAGATCTCTGAATTTAAGAAAGCATTTAGCATTTATGAGCCAGCAAACATATACTGTCAAAAGTTTTTAGCAATGTAAACACAGTATTTTACAAGTCCCTTTTATTGTGGTGTTTTGTTTGCTTGTTTAAGGCTAGAGTTAAACAAATGGATAAGTTTACCAGCGAATCCATGAAGGCACAAGAAACTCAACCTGATATTATCATCATCCAAAAGGAATCAGGTATGAAATGTTTATCACCACCACAGATGTGCTTATAAATTTTTGGTCAGCATTTCCCAAATAACAGTAATATGCTGAATATATGTATGTAGACTTCCAGCTATATATTTATGCTGGATGTGGCTGAAAACATAACACACGTGAACAAGCCTTGGGAATTTTTTAAAGGAACTTGCTAGTCCCTATGGTAATTGAGACATTGCTGAACCTAACATTGCTGAACCAGTGTCTTCACTAATACTTCGCAAATGTATTGACTACAGGGATAGCTAAGAGATTATATTTCTAGAGTATAGCTTTAGTATTGCAGTTGTATTCCTGCAGACACAGAAAACCTTTTTGTGTGATAACGAAGCAAAGTTGCAAGTGAAGTGAATCTCCACTGTCCCTAATCCACATGAAATGTAGTGTTTCTGGAGCAGGTGATAGTGATGAGGTAGATTAGATTAGATGTTTTTGGCCTACAACTCCCATCATCCCTGACTAGCAAGACCAGTGGCAAGGGATGATGGGAATTGTAGGCCAAAAACAGCTGGAGGCACAAGGTTGGGAAACACTGGATTAGAAGAAGCTGGTACAACACCACCAGAGGAGGAATATCAGGAGAGGGGTACCTTAAATGACTTGTTTGGCAAGAAACTGGGCATATGTGGGTAGCAGGAACAGAGAATGAAGGTTTCGGAGGAAGAGCTGTGTTCCAAGAGGGATTATGGTACTCCAGGCTAGAACATTCATTGGCATGCAGCGTCCACACAAATAATATAAAGGTTACAAGGTTACAAAAGAGTAAGTAACCCCATTGAACTTTGTTGGACTTCTATTATATTAAAAGGTGCATGATAAACATCTCGTTATCATGGGAGAAGTTTGCTTTTACCAAAATGTTCCATTACACTTTTAAGCCAGGGGTTCCAAAACGGGTCTGTGAGCTTCATTCAGGTAGTCTTCTGCTTGTATAATGAATATTAATACTGATTTTTAATTGTATATTTATTGTATATTTTGTTTCTTGTATTACAAAGCAATAAAAATACAATTAAAAATCATATAGCACTGAGCAAAACACATTACATTTCCTACAACAGGCAGAAAAATCATTAAGTGGTCCACCAGGACCCTCAGCAATTTTCAGGTAGTCCGTGGAGAAAAGAGTTCAGGAACCACTCCTTTAAGCCATTGCTGCTTTCATTCAGTTGCTTTTAAAATAGGATTCAGAGTAATATGTCCTTAGAAACAGGCTTTTGTTCACATTAATTTCTTTCAGTAGAGGCACCATTTGGATCATATACCCCTCAGGCTGTTCAAGAATCAAATGAAGTGGTGTCAAAAATTCTTAGCGATTTGCAGCCCAGCAAACCAGTGCTTTGGAAGCAGTTAATGTGGCAGGTAAATCATGATATAAAGAGCTTGTTCACATTGGAGCTTACTACGTGTTTATAGCTGTTTTGTGTTCTCATTTAATTTGTGTAGTACACATGATGTTACCCTCAAACACCAGTCTCATCGCTGTCTCCTGTAAATTCGAGTTTACCCAATTCAGGGATAATGCAATAAACTGCAGGAAATTGGGCTTCAAACTACTCCACTAGGGGCGGCAGACAGTTTTGGTGGGTGAGTGGGTCAGTCACTTTCTGCCACACCCGTTTCAACATCTGTGACTTCCTCGGTTCTTTTGTTTCTTTTCTGGCCATGCTCGTCACTATTTGTGGTGTGCTTCTGGATAGAGAAGCATGGCCTTGCAACACACACACACACACACACACTTCTTTGGATCCCTCAGATTTGAACAAAACAAAAAAACTGCAGAAATGTGCATTGAGAATTTACCATTGCCTAACTGCTTTTGCACACTTACTGGGTGGGGAATTTTATTTTTAAGTTGTATGCCACCATCTGTGAACATGCCCTGTTAGTAGTTAATTGGCATAAGAGAATTGACCAATTAGAAGGCAAGGAGAAACACAAAAGGGAGGCCTGCTGGTATGAACTACTCCAGTCTAATTCAAACTGGTGTGGGTTACACCAGTCTAATAAAAATACAGGGATTAACAACTAAATAAAATCACATGTGGGCAGGCCAAAAATGAGGAGAAATGATCACATACAGAACTGGGATTGATTGGGCTCTTTTATATGCCATTTCCCCTGTTGAGCTTCAAGCTCTGCCCCTATGTGAGAAGGAGTACTAGAGACCCTAGAGCCTGACTGAGGCTTTGTTCCATATTTTCCCACAGGGAGAAATAGGAGACAGGGGTCTCAGTTTCTATCTTTCCAGTGATCTAACAAGCATAGTGGCCTAGGAGGTGCAGAGTATGTGTCTGAGCTATTTCTAATACAATCTTTCAAACTTAAGCCTTTATGGATGTTTTACTCAAGTCATGGTTGGCATTTTGCAGAGGAAGAAGCGTTGGACACATAACAAAAGGGGGGAAAAACCTTCCAATAAAAGAAGGGGAAGATTTAGAAAGCATTTGGAAAGAAGTCCAAAACCAAGGTTTGCAGACAGACAGGACTGGATTCCCAGAAGGTTCAAAAGGCAAGAATGTAGGATCAGAAACATACAGAATAGCGAAGACAAAATTCAGAAAGCCATGGAGCAGAAAGAAATTCTTAGATGTGTAAGAAGTACCTATGTTGGTGAGAAGGAATCTAAATCACAGGCAACTTCCACACATTCCAATGAACGTAAAAGAAGAAATACCAATGAAGTCATCACTTATAATGTCAAGGAAGGACAACTCTTAGGACTAAAGGGAAGAAGAACAAGAAGAAGAAGATCAACATACCCAGGGAAGCCACACTTGGTTTCTTCAAAACCCTTTGATAGCTATAGTTCTTCCTACAGTTTGTCTTCTTATTTTACCCCAAGTAGCTCCCAGAGTACATTATCAAGAAGAATGAAGAGAAACGTTTCCAGTTTTCATAAAAAAGAAGGTAGTTTTGAGGATACATTTTTGATCAACACAAAGGAACAGAAAATGAGAGAGAGAGAAATGGGAGCAGTTCCAAAGAAAAGAGAAGCCAGAGAAACACAGTCGGTCAGAAATGTAAGTCTTAAACTGAAAACCTTAAAATCTCAAGAGAAATTATCTAACATGGTAGACCGTCTGTCAGACCCATCCAATAACATGTCAAAAGATGAAAAACTCACCTACATGCATGAACTCCTAGATGAATTAAAGTTATTCATTAAGCTGTTGGAGCAGCAAATACTACTACAGTCACTAAATAACATTGTTTATTCAACCACAGTTTCTGGCTCGCAAAAGTAGAGAGCTCTAATATTGCTGAATTTAAAAACATGTTGCTATTTTGTTACATAAAAATCCTGATAATATGTTCAGTAATTTTATTTTGGCTTAATTAGTCTTTAAATCATAATGTTGGTTTATAGCTCATATGAGAAAAAGTTTTTGGATAAACGACTGAAAAAATACTAAAATAATTCCTAATAAATGACATTACTCTGGAAAATGCTCCTTGTAAGAAAGATGCACCATGACAGTAGTCATAGGAGAAGGAATAATAAATTTGTAGAGTTGGAAGATACCCAAGGGGTCGTCTAGTACAAATCACTGCAACGCAGAAATCTCAACTAGATCACCCATGACAGATGGCCATCCAATCTCTGCTTAAAATCATCCAAGGAGTCCACAACCTCCTGAGGGATACTGTTCCACTGACAAACAGCTCTTACCCAGAAAGTTCTCCCTGATGTTTAGTTGGAATCTCCTTTATGTAACTTGGGTCCTACCCTTTAAAGTGGGAGAAAACAAGCTTACTCCATCTTCAGTGTGGTTAGCCCTTTAGATATTTGAAGATGGCTATCATATCTCCTCTCAGTCTCCTCTTTTCCAGGCTAAACATACCCAGCTCCTTCAACCATTCCTCATAAGGCTTAGTTTACAGACTCTTGATCATCTTGCTCACCCTTCTCTGCACACATTCGAGCTTGTCAACATCCTTTTTAAATTGTGGTACCCAGAACTTGATCAGGACACTAGACTTTTGTTAATGCAGCCCAGAATTGCATAAGCATTGTTGTTGTTGTTTTGCTTCTGTATCACACTGTTGACTCATGTTCAGCTTGTAGTTTACTAAGATCCTTCTCACATGTACTACTGGCAAGCTATGTGTCCCCCACCTTTTATTTGTGCAGCTGGAATCATCAACCACTCTAACATTCCTGACTTCAAATGCACCAAATCACTTGGAACTCAGAGATACAACATGAAAGTGGGTGGGTGTAATCACCATTAATATGAAACAAGGCAAAATCCTTTAAGTCTCATTCCAGCTAGGCCAATTTCAGTTTCAGAGGAAACTCACAACAGTTGTTTTTTTTAAAAGGCTCTTACTTGTCCTTAAATACGCTTTCATAATTTCATACAGTACTTTTAAAAGTTCTGCCTTTACATCTTATGGTGTCAACTATGGTTTGGGAATTTTTTTTGTCACACTTGTGTTTCTACATGAAACGGGTTTGGGGGAGGAAAATGAGCCTTCAGCCTGAATGATGAAAGAATAATTCCTCTTTCGTACTTTGCATGTAAACTCTTCAAAGTGCTTAAAGGAGAAGTTGCATGTCTCTCTGATCTGCAGAACCCACTTTGACTCCTGAAGTGTTACTATAACATATTAAGTAAGAGATGATAAACATCTGAATGTTTATTCAAAGTTCTTTATCATCTGTATATATTTATTTAGCCACAGCTATATTTACATTATGGACTTTTTCATGGCAAACCCTTTTTAGAAATCTAGTATATTTTGAGGATAAATAAGAGGTTATAAAACAAGCAGTAGGGGGCAGTAAAAGCACAGAAGTTACAGCACTGAGGAGTGTTTGAGATACGTTTCAGAAGGCAGATGGTCCAAATAGTGACCAGTTTTTATGGAAAGTGCATCTTAACAGAGATAGTAGCAGTTGTGGAAAAAGGCAGTAGAGTGTTCCTAGTGAAACTATTTTAATGAATGTCAAGGGCGGGCTCAAAGAGTAATGAAAGCAAATTCCCAACTGTCTCTGTCAGTAATGATATCTGAGGCTCAAAAGCCAAATGGCGGTCAGTTTCCACAGGATGCATTTCAGTTACATAGTTATACTACCATATGCCTTGCCCTGCGTGACGTTATTTTGTCCCTGTTTTTTGCCTGATACGGACACCTTGTTAAAATATTATGAATGTGATTCGCTAGCACTGCCATGCTTCCTGCTTTCAGCTGCCTCTCCAGGGAAGTTCAAACAGTACTGAGGGCTCAGGGCTGGGGTGGCCTTGATCCCTTTACTTTTTATGATGCCTCCTGAGCTACTGTTTTAAAAGACTATAGTGGGGCAGTATGATATAGTTGAAATGGTGGGAGGGGGGCAGGAAGCCCAAGGTAAAGCTTGTGGATTCTTCCTCTCCCCATAACACAAGTAAATGAAGACAATATATGTCGGTCAGTGAATAGCCTTCAACAAGAAAGAGACTTGGGAAGGGATCCTTGGTATGAAAACCATGATGTCACAAGGATGTCCCTACGTATTTCCATATGCGGAACATCAGGTTTTGCGTTTACAATACTATCGTGCTTAACGTAATTCTTCTAAAATTCCATTTTTATAAAAATATGAGAGCTGCCTTTCCTGGGGATAGAATAGTGGCTTCTATTGCCTATAGACTCTAGGTCCTAGAGCAGACATTGCCATGCTGCCTAGGGCTCATGGGAGTTGGAGGCCAGCAACATCTGAAGGGTGCCAGCAGGAGCAGACCTTGGTAATATACTGCCCTGTACAAGGCCAGCATTTGACCCCCTCCTCAAGCCCTCTTGGCACTGGCTTAAGCCAGGTGAGAAGCGCCCTCCTCAGCTGCTCACCCAGTACTGTGACATCGCTTAAATATAAAGGTAAAGGATCACTGACAGTTAAGACCAGTCACAGACGACTCGGGGGTTGCGGCACTCATCTTGCTTTACAGGCCGAGGGAGCCAGTGTTTGCCCGCCCACAGACAGTTTTTCTGGCTCATGTGGCCAGCATGACTAAGTCGCCTCTGGCGCAACGGAACACTGAAACCAGAGCAGCGCATGGAAATGTCATTTACCTTCCCACTGGAGCGGTAGCTATTTATCTACTTGCACGTTTTGGTGTGCTTTCGAACTGCTGGGACCGAGCAATGGGAGCTCACCCCGTCACGGGAATTCGAACCACCAACCTTCTGATTGGCAAGCCCAAGAGGCTCAGTGGTTTAGACCACAGCACCACCTGCATCCCTTGCGACATCGCTTAAAAGGTAAGGGTATTACGTTGCCCTAAATCTGCCTCTGGCACTTGGTTAGCAAAGGCTTATGAGGGAGTCCATAAATTTTTCTAAATGTGTTTCTTGAATTCAGGAAGATGACATAACATGTCATAGAATGGGTTTCTCTTCCAACTGTGTCAAAGACCCCTCCACGCCACTGAGCGAGACAATGCACCTATTGGCCTCCACAGATCAGCCCATACAAGTGCCACAAAGATTAAGTGTAAAAGCCATTTACACTTAGGGCCCTCATATCTACGGGACCGCCTCTCCTGGTATGACCCGCAGAGGACCTTAAGGTCCATGAATAACCATAGTTTAGAGGTCCCGGGTCCTAAGGAAGTCAGACTATCCTCCACCAGGGCCAGGGCCTTTTCCAGTGATGGCTCCGACCTGGTGGAATGCTCTGTCCTGTGATACTAGGGCCGTCCAGGATTTAACCTCCTTCCGTCGGGCCTGTAAGACAGAGCTATTTCGCCTGGCCTTTAATTTGAATTCAGCCTGATCTTTTATTTCCCTTCTTTTCCCTCCACCTCCCCTTTTATGAAGATCACCTGCTCTGAGACCCCACAGCTAATTCTCCCCTGGCCTCCTCGCTGGCCCAAGTAGGACCAATTCAGCCAGCTAGCCCTGGAGATTATCTTTTTGATTTTTGAGTTTCATTGTTATTCATATTTTTATACTGTATTTTATGCTGCTTTTATAATTAAGTGTTTTAAAGTGTTTTAAATTTGTTGTTAGCTGCCCTGAGCCCTGGTTTTTGAACTGGGAAGGGCGGGGTATAAATAAAAAAGTATTATTATTATTATTATTATTATTATTATTATGGAGCAACAGTGCAAGATGCACTAATCAACACTGGCCAAACCGCAAGCCACAAGTTCATCACCCCTGCCCTATTGTCTTTCCCTTGGCACAATAAATCAACAAAAGTTCATAGGCGCTGACTAGATGATGTGTTGGTATTCCGGCTTCCAGTCAAAGAGGAAAGAGTTAGGAGCTTACAGTCCATACCTCCGTAAAGAGACCAGCTTCAGAATGTCAGTGGCTGATAACAGAAGTTGCAGCACTGAGCAGCTGTGTCTGAAAGCCAGCCCGGAGCACTTCTCAATTCTTCAGTTAAGAACTGGTATAGTTCAGGAGTTGGAGCCAAAGGATATGAGCTGCTGCTTAAGAGCTCTTTGGTGACAAAGCAAGGTCATAAGCTACACTTGTAGTCCAGTGGCACAGAGACCATTCACATGTGTAGTAGCATTGGAGCCAAGAAATCAGTATCATTTAAACTCTTCTGCCCTGAATGAATAGCATGTTTTCAATATTGTTAGATGTGCAGAATCAAAAATACTATTCAGCAAGGGACAGCTGTAAGACATGCTTAAGGGTTTGTGTTGTTGGGGTTTTTGGGTGGGGAGTTGCACATGGACTTGCTCCAACTTCCTCTCTGCTCACCAGCTGAGAGGTTAGTAGCTGTAAATCACTCCCTTAGAAAATAAGTGGGGCAGTGTCCAGTGGCTGAAAGCCATCACTTCACCCATCAGCCTGGAGGGCCTTTTGCCACTTTGTCTGGTATGTGATGGCCTTGTAAAAGAGTGTTTCAAAAATGTACATTCTCTCCAACAAAAAGATGCCTTTCCTGGCATGAAGCACTATGGTATCCTTAAGAGGCCTTGGCTTGGCTGTTTAATCTGATATGTCATTCAATCTCTACATTATGGTCGGTGCCTAGTATCCAGTCAAAAGGAGCTCAAGGCAGCTAACAAATCCAAACATCATGCCATTATTAAAATATGTAATGATTCCCATTCTGACATCGCGTCATAAAAGCAAAATATCAACGTAAAAAGCCAAAACCTGAACAACAAACTCCAAAAGCTACCACCAGAACTAAATCATCAAAAAGAAACAAGAAAAAGGGAAATGACCAGCCAAATGACATTTTTGCACTGTTATGTTTTCACTACCTGCCTAAAACAGGACAACGATGAGGCTTGCTTGACACATTGACTGGCAAGGCATTCCAGGCAATGGGCACCACCCACTCATATAGAAAAGGCCCTAGTCTCTGAAAACATACCTACAACAGCTGATCAATCCATGTGACCAATTAACTGAGAAGACAGGACTGAGTTTTATACAGCATATTTATATAGAGGCTGTAAATATTTTTTAAAAAATGACACTCAAAACCCTGGAAGTCAGTTCCACCAATATGGCAACATGCAACCTGCAATTTTCCATTTCGTAGAAGAAGAGCTACAGTATTGTGCGTGTTTATGGCTCCAGTGTTAACATTGCTCATGTGAATGGCTCTTGTGCAAGCAGGGCTTTTTCTTTTAGTCAGCAAACCACATTTCTTTGGAAAGGAAACAATTGTGGAACATCCAGTGAAACTGAATTCATAGAAAATTGGCCTGCAATGGGGAGGTTCAGAGCTGACGGAAGAACTTCATGTAATTCACTATTTGCCTTCCCAGGTTGTGTGCTTGTGAAGCAGCTTAGAAACTAGCATATTCTTGACACATAATAGCGAACAAATCTATTTCCTGTACACCCCCTCACAATAATCT